TGTCATTTATGGTCTCTTTAGGGTATATTCCCAGTAGTGGAATTGCTGGGTCAAATGGTATCTCTGTATGCAACTTTTTGAGAAAGTGCCACATCTATTTCAGCTTTTTTAATAAAGGCAGGGTTGTCTGCTTTTTTCCTCCACAGAGACTTAGTAGATGAGGCTAAAAACTACCTTCTATTGCCTCAAGAACGGCCACTAATGCAGGGACCAAGGACAAGACCACGTAAACCTATTCGATGTGGAGAAGTGCTCTTTGCAGGTTTGAATCTTAACATATTGTGAATATTGGACTAAAACCCAAATATTTTCCCATGTGAGAAACTGTTATTTGGATAATCCTTTGGACAAACTGATATGCACTGTAATTAAGAACACATAACAATAGTCTTAAAAGGTATATGAGCCTCTGAAATAATCTTTAAATTGTAATTTTTTTTTATGAGTAAACCTTTCACACATATAAAACTGTGTTCCTTTTCTGCACGAGCGTTTCTTAAGTATGTTGCTTAACTCGCTTCAGAGCTCCCAAGACGAATTATGCATGTTCTTTGTTTTGCTAAGCACAGTATACGCAATAATAAGTAACTAGTTTGGCCCCAGTTATACCATTACTTCTGCCTTGAAAATTGTAAGTCTCATAAGATCACCATAAAACAGTAAATTGAACATTCCGTTCATTTTAATACTATCATAGTTAGAGGAAATGGTTACATTTTACTTACTAGCGGGATTTCCCCTCCTTTCTGTTAATATTAAAGAACACAGTAAGAAAAAATGTTTTAAGTTTGATTTGGGAGACATGAAATCCAATAAAAATTTGGCTTCCCTTATAAAATTGTGCTTGAGATTAGACTATGAGTTCTTGCCAATGCTTGCAATGCTTATGTTTGCAGCCAAGTTTTCTTTTAGAATTTGAGCTATTTTTCCTGATACTGAAATATCTTACTTATATCATAGAACAAAATTTAAATTTAAGGTAATCAATTTACACAGAATTTACTGTGACTTATTATTAGTTGAATATAAGTATTTAAAATGGAAACAATATAATTGATAAAGCTCATTGAGATTTGAAATAAAAATAATTTTCAGATTCATTTGAAATGAAGTTGAAGTAGTCCTATATTACTGTAGTTCAGGTAGTTGTTTAACACCTTTTTGAAGCCAGTAATTTTCAAATGTTTCAGAAGATAGTTATTCTTACACTTCACATTTAATGCTCCAGAATCCTGAATTCCATTTTGGAATAAAGACAATGTTGAAAGAGATACAATTAGAAAGAATAAGAAACAAAGTATATTTTCCAATACCATAATATTTTTCCCCAGAGTGCTCAGAAGAAGCTTTATGGAATTTTATTTGAAACTGTTATTTTTGTTTGAAACTTTTCTTTTGGGGAGTATTCACTTAATAAAAAATGAAATTTATTGCAAATATTTTCCAATCTTAAATATCATATTGAGTAATTTAGAATTGATTGTAGACTGCTTATTTCAACAAAAACCCAAAATTGTGTGTATATCAAGAATTTTTGTACTAATTTAGTGACAGAAGAACCTATGAAGAGAGATAGAGGAGTCAAAAATCTATCTCTCCAAGTAAAAATAAAAGCAGCTTCAGAAGTTTGATAGTTCTGTTATTGTGTGTACCATCAAATTGGATCTGACTGGCACAAGAGGAGATTGCTCCTACTTCTCCAGTGGAGCATCTGGTGGATTCAGACCTGTGTCTTAAGAATTGCAGTGCAGCTTCTTGCCACAGGCTACATTTGATAATTCTTTATATTTTTTTATTGAACACTGTAATTTATGTAATGTAACATTTTATACTTTAGGAAAAGTTACTTATTTCACTTTTTAATTTTGATTCTTCTTTTTATCACTGAAGAAACTATGGTTCAGTGAAATTTGACACATTTTCCAAAGATCACATACCTAGCAGAAACAACACTTTCCCTCTAGTTACCTGGTGATCTGCTTCAGTAAAAAAGGAAAAAAAAATAGACAAAAATCTTCTGGACAGCTGTACTCTGTCACATGTTTTCACTATAAGTTGAAATAAACTCAATGACAGGACCTTCTGTTTTGTGCCATATTATCTCCACATTTTCTTGAACTGATGTCCTTTCATTCCTCTCTAAAATGGACATAATAACACTGTAGTTATTTCCTATTGAGTTGGAACCTACCCGTGGTTAGAGGCTGTTTAATTGTATAGGAGGAAATTGCCCATGTTTCTCCCGCAGAGCAGCTGGTAGATTTTAACTGAGTGCCTTTGGAATTGCAGCACTTACCTTGCCACTAGGCTACCAATCTCAGGAGAGCAAGTTATATATCGTGACTTATTTGACCTGGTTCTAGGGACATTTGGCAAATCCAAGAATTAAGTTACTGTATAAAGATTAGCAATGAGTTGTCACTGTGCAGGTATCCTAACCATTTTTATTATTTCCCCAGTTGGTGGTTGGTGCAGTGGCGATGCCATTTCCAGTGTTGAACGATATGATCCACAGACCAACGAATGGCGAATGGTAGCTTCAATGAGCAAAAGGAGATGTGGTGTTGGGGTCAGTGTTCTTGATGACCTATTATATGCAGTAGGAGGCCATGATGGGTCCTCTTATCTTAATAGTGTTGAAAGGTGAGTTGAGTCAACTAGAAATTTTTTCCAATTACACAGTTTTAATTTGAGATGTAATTAGGAAATAGATGTGATTGTTTTTACTTTAGTGGCTGGGCTTTATTAGAAGGGTGGCATCAGGATTGGAGGTAGACTCATCAGCAATCTGCGTTATGCAGATGACACAATCCTGCTTGCTGAAACTGAGGAGGACCTGAAGCACTTGCTGCAGAATGGCAAGGAATGCAGCCTTCAATATGGATTGAAACTCAGCATCAAGAAAACAAAGATTCTCTCCACTGGGCCTGTTGGCAGCATCATGATAGATGATAAAGAGAATGAGGTTGTTGACAGCTTCAATTTGCTTGGCTCTACAATCAACAGTCTTGGTACCAGCAGCTAGGAAATTAAAAGACGGATTGCACTGGGAAAGTCAGCTGTCAGAAACCTCTCCAAAATACTGAAGAACAACGATGTCAATCTGGAGACTAAGGTGTGCCTGACAAAGGCCATGGTGTTTGCAATCACTTGCTATGCATCTGAGAGCTGGACAGTGACTAGGGATGATAGAAGGAGAAGTGATGCTTTTGAGCTGTGGTATTGGAGAAGAGTATTGAATATACCATGGACTGCTAGGAGAACAAACGAGAGTGAAGCCAGAGTGCTCCTTGGAGGCAAGGATTCTGAAGCTTTGTCTGACATACTTTGGACATGTTGCAAGGCGGGATCAGTCCTTGAGAGTGAGATCATGCTTGGTAGTATGGAGAGATCGCACAGGAGAGGAAGACTCTCGATGAGATGGATTGATTCAGTGACTGGGGTAATGGGGGTAGGTGTGTTGGAGACAATAGGATTAGCACAGGATAGAGCAGGGTTTAAGGCTGTTGTAGGTAGGATTGCTTTGAGTCGCAGGCAACTTGACGGCACATAACAACAACAACAACATTGCATCTATGGCACTAGTTGCATCCTAGAAAAGTTAGCATGATACACAAATATTTTCTGATCATATATCTCCACCTGATTTTCTAGTTTCTTTTCCATAGAACATAGCCTTTCTCTCAACATGATACTGCAAACCCACCAAACTACTTGTAGTTCCTTGACTGCAGCATCCTTTCCTGTGCCTCTTTTCCTACATGTGTGCATGCTGTACTTTCTCCTCTGGCATGTTGATTTCTCTTAGTTACCTATTATATACTTAAATTTGGGAGGGGTGGTTTTGTGTTTGTGAAGCAGTAAGGTAGTTTCTTTTCCCCGGGGTGCAGGTGGGCTATGCTTTCAAGGTAAAAGTCAGAAGCTCTTGCTCTTAGTACGAGAGGTTATATACAGAGATTGTTGGTGGGTTCAGGAGGTCTCATGAAGAAGTCTTGGTTGGGCTCTTTTCTGTTGGCACCTTTTCTTACCTTGCAGGTGAAGTCTTAGGTCAGCTTGTTTTCTATGGTATTCCTCAAACTTCCTGGTTTTTCCCAGTTGAGCTTTCTACTAGTAGTTGAAGCTGGCTGGAACTAGGGGGCAGAGGACTTTATCTGAGAAGTAGAACTTCTAGTGACAATGAGGCCATTTTATTTTACCTGTCAGAAAGTTAGAGCTACCATCTTTATTTTGAACTTGCAACTTAATAAATTGTGAGAGAATAAATTTCTTTTTCTTAAAGCCACCATTTGTAATATTTCTTTTATAGTAGTACTAAGTAACCAAGGGAAGCTAACTGAGCAGAGATTCAATGTTCATCAAGAAAAAAGATACTAGAGTATGTAACTGGTTTTTTTCATAACTTCTAGCTTCTTGCTCTCATATGCCCTTTTTTATTAAGCTTGTGGACTCTGAGTTAAAATGATTGTTGGTCCTAAACATGTTTATTAAACCTTGTAGCTTATCAAGACCTAGAAATGTAAATTGTATTCCTGAAAGAAACACAGGCGATAACTCCATGAAAATTTAAAAATAAAATACACACACTTAAAAATTAATATGTACATGACAAAATATTTATAACTTAAAGACAAAGATAGCAAGCCTAATTAAATGTTATAATTAAGTGTTGCGATGGAACTTAGGTAGTATGCAGGGACAATTGTTATGTGCCATTGAGTCGCCTGCATAGTGACCCTACGTGACCTATGAACAACAGCTCTGAAGCCTGCTTGTCCTGACTCATTCTCACTAACTCCAACACACTAACCCCAATTGCCCCAGTTACTGTATCAGTTCATCTCATCCAGGGTCTTCCTCTCCTGTGTTGTCCCTCCACCCTTCTAAGCATGATGTCCTTCTCCAATGATTGATTGCTCCTGGTCACAAGCCTAAACTATGTGAGATGGATCTTCAAAATCCCAGCCTCCAAGGATAAACTTGATATTGTGACAGCCATATGATGCAAAAGGAAGAACAGAGAAGAACTATGCCACAAGACCACAGCAGAGACCATTAATATACATTTTAATTTTTATGCATTCATTTGAAAATAAATGACTCATGCTTCTAAAATTAAAAAAGTTCTAAAAAGAGCAAGAAAGATACAAGAGAGTAACATATGCTCTTTAATGCTAACCCTTGAAAACATTAGACTGTATAAAATAATTCCAACACAAAAGGACAAATATTAGATGATCTGAACACTCTTGGCACCAGCAGCCAGGAAATTAAAAGATGTGTTGCTATGGGAAAGTCTGCGGTTAGAGACCTCTCTAAAGTACTAAAGTGCAAAGATGTCAGTCTGGAGACTAAGGTGTGCCTGATACAAGCCATGGTCTTTGCGATCACTTGCTATGCATCTGAGAGCTGGACAGTGACTAGGGAGGATAGAAGGAGAATTGATGCCTTGGAGCTGTGGTGTTGGAGAAAAGTATTGAATATACTATGAACTTCTAGGAAAACAAACAGGTTTGTCCTGGAGAGGGTGAAGGCGGGCTGCTCCTTGGGGGCAAGGATTCTGAAGCTTTGTCAGACATACTTTGGACATGTTGCAAGGAGGGACCAGTCCTTGGAGAGGGTTGTCATGCTTGGGCGGGTGGAGGGACAGCGCAGGAGAGCAAGACCCTTGATGAGATGGATTGATTCAGTGACTGGGGTAATGGGAGTACGTGTGTCAGAGATGGTGAGATTGACACAGGACAGGACAGAGTTTAGGGCTATAGGATCGCTATGAGTCGCAGGCAACTCAATGGCACATAACAACAACAACAACATTTATATTAACTATCTAGCCTAAGCATATGTATAGAAACAAAAGTCTGTTAGTAGTTCTTGTGGCTAGGAGGAGGAAGAAGCAGCAGCTAAACTTTACAGGATAACAAATTTCCATTTGAGGTGCTGAAACAGTTCTGGAAATACATAATGATGAGTGTTACACAATATTTTGAGTGTACTTAATGTCACTGAATTGTACACTTAATAAGGATTAAAATGAAATAAATTATATGTTATAATATTTTACCATAATTTGATTAGAAAAAGTGAAGAGGTGAGCTACATTAAAAGGAACTAAACTTCTTTAAAAGATAGAAAAAAGTAAAGGTAAAATTAATTAGAAACAGACCAGTTAATATAACTATAAAATTACCATTTGTTAATATTTTTTAAGTTCAAAATTAACATAAATACAAATATTGAGACCTAGCAATCCTACTTCTTGTTTTATATTTGCATAAGAAAAAATATTAATAGTTTTATTCCCAGTAGAAAATTGTTTTAGCTCTAGAATACATAAAGAGGAATAGGACTACATCATATATAGCACATATGATATAGTGAAATATAGTCAGTCTAAAGAAGTCTAGCCTGACTAGATCTCACAAATATGTTGAAGGGAAAAAGATTTTCAAACAATGTCTCTGGTATTATATGTTGTTGTTGTTATGTGCCATCGTGTTGCCTGCAACTCATAGCAACCCTGTGTACAACAGCCCTAAACCCTGCTCTATCCTGTGCCAATCTCATTGTCTTTTACACACCTACCCCCATTACCCCAGTCCCTGAATCAATCCATCTCGAGAGTCTTCCTTTCCTGCACTGCCCCTCTACCTTCCCAAGCATGACCTCACTCTCCAAGGACTGATCCCTCCTTGCAACATGTCCAAAGTATGTCAGACAAAGCTTCAGAATCCTTGTCTCCAAGGAGCACCCTGTTTTCACCCTCTCCAGGGCAAATCTGTTCTCTTAGCAGTCTATGGTATATTCAGTACTCTTCTCCAACACCACAGCTCTAAAGCACCAGTTCTCCTTCTATCATCCCTAGTCACTGTCCAGCTCTC